CTTTGACAGTGGGTAGTTGAAGGTGCCAAAAGATCTCATGCCCATATTCTGCTTTTTATAAAACCCAGTATTCTGTATTATTAGATCAACTATTTATCTCCAACTTTTAATTAACCTGTTTGTTTGTTTCCGTGCTAAGGTATTTTGCATGACTTGACAGCCTCAGTCAGTCTGAATTGTCTGATGTATGATCTGATCTGATCAAAGACTTGTTACTGAAGGGCTACAGAACATGAGCCATATATCTATATCTATATATATATATTACATCAGAGGTAGCAGATAAATGCAGCATCCCTGATGTATAACTGCATCCAAAATACCTATAAAAAAATATATCTTATCTCCTTTGATTAAATCTGTCCTATCTATTTACAGATCCTTCTAGAAATCCTCCATTAAGAACACATGTGAGATGAGAAGAGTCTGCTGATGCTCTCTGGAAGAGTATTAAAAAAGTACATCAAGATAATATATAAAACAGAAGGGGTCCCTATTGCAGTGATAGTGATTGTACTTGAGTCACAAGTACTGCAATGTAAACATTTCTATGAACTGGAAAAATGGTGTAAATGATACCTTTTTAGCTGGCCTACATACTACAGGAATGTTAGTACAGGCTTTTAAATTATTGTAAATAGGTGGATATTTTTTAAGCAAAGCAGCATAAAATTTAAGTTATTTGTAGTGTTGAAACAATTCTCATTCTTATAACGCTGACAATGTTATCTCAGAATGTTTTGCATTACATGCCTGTATTTCTTTTTTCCCCTTTCATCATAATTTTTAAGTATTTTGGAAATTCTCCAGTTATTATTCAGACATTTTTTCAATGAACTGTCAAACTACTGTACTACCTTTAGTCTGTTTTTATGTTCCTTCGCTTCTATTCTGCCTATCCTCAGATTGCAGCAGGATGTCACTGTCATGAAGGGACAGGTCCACAATCCTTCTCTCATCAAGCATGAAGAGGAGATGACAAGGAGCTGTGGCTGCTGTTGAGCCTGTCTCCTACTGATTACAGATCCTTATAGGATAGTGTCTGAAGAAGACCAGCCTGGGTAGGGTGGTCATGGATTTGACAAAGATGACAGAACTTCTCCAAAGTAGAGGAAAAGAAAGTTGCTATATTGTAAGCAAAAAAAAAAAAAAAAAAAACAAAAAACAAAAAACAAAAACAACAAAAAAAAAGGTGTGTGTGAATACATATACCACGATGTATGTATGTAAGGGCACATGTCCTGTCTTTTCCTTCTGGCAAAGTGGATATTTACTGTCACATATCTGTGAGAGTTTGCCTTTACTCAGCAATTACGAGGCCATTGGATGAGAGGTCCAAACCCCACATTTTAAACAGGCAACTAGAACTACTGTTGTTCACCCGCAGTGAGGATTCATTGTCCAAAACACACCACATGGAAGAAGCAGTCCCCAAAGTGGTTGTCTTGAAGAAAGTTGGTTGGGAAAAGTAACAACCTAGCAGCAGACAAAACTGAACTTCTGCTTTTAATATTCAGCTAGGGATATAAGGTCCTTGGATCACAGATGTTCAGATCTGGTCCTAAGATGTCTATTTCTCACAAGAATTACACTTACTCCTGTGCATTTCACTGCATTAGGAGGAGTGGTGCCAGATTGAGGGAGGTGATCCTTCCCCTCTACTCAGCACTGGTGAGGCCACATCTGGAGTGCTGTGTCCAGGTTCTGGGCTCCCCAGTGCAAGGGAGACATGGCCATACTAGTGAGAGTCCTGCAAAGGTGATGAAAGGACTGGAGCATCTCTCCTATGAAGAAAGGCTCAGAAAACTGGGGCTGTTCAGCCTAGAAAAGAGAAGGCTCAGGGGGGACCTCTTCAATGTGTATAAATACCTGAAGGGATGGTATAAAGATGGAGCCAGTCTCTTTTCAGTGATGCCCAGTGACAGGACCAGAGGCAATGGGCACCAGCTGCAACAGAGGCGGCTCCGGCTGAACATCAGGAAACATTTTTTTAATTGTGAAGGTGACTGAGCACTGGCACAGGTTGCCCAGTGACATTGTAGAGCCTCACTCCTAAAGATACTCAAAAACTGTCTGTACTTGGTCCTGGGCAACTGGCACTAGCTGACCTGGTAGAGCAAGGAGGCTGGACTAGATGAACTCCAGCCATCCCTTTCAACCTCAAACACTCTGATTCCCCCTTTTACAGCTTTTCTGAGTTCCTACACCTGGGTTACAATAACCCCATGCAGTGCTACAGGCTTGGAGCAGAGTGGCTGGAAAGCTGCCTGGCACAAAAGGACCAGGGGGTGCTCATTGAGAACTGGCTGAACATGAGCCAGCAGCGTGTCCAGGTGCCTAAGAAGGCCAAGAGCATCCTGACTTGAGGCTCAGGGAAGACCTTATTGCTATAACCTGAAAGGAGGCTGTAGTGATGTTGGGGGTCAGTCACATCTCTCAAGTAACAAGCCACAGGACAAGAGGAAATGGCCTCAAGCTGTGCCAGGGAAGGTTTAGATTAGATATTAGGAAAAACTTCAAAGGGTGGTCAGGCATTGGAACAGGCTTCCCAGGGAAGTGGTGGAGTCACCACTTAAATTTAAAAGGTAGGTAGGAGGTATTTAAAAGATGTGTAGATGTGGAACTTGGGGACATGGTTTAGTGGTGGACTTGGTAGTGCTGAGTTAACAGTTGAACTCGATGATCTCAATTTTTTTTTCCAACCTAAATGATTCCATGACTCACCAACTTGAGAAAGGACACTGCTGTTCCAGGGTGAGTCTGGTGCCAACAGCAAGGCTATTTACAGTTATGGCAATAATTTATATAATTGCCACCAATTCCCCTCAGTTACAGCTGTAATAATGTCATAGATCACAGGTGATCTTTCCCCATGGTGTTGCCTTTGAACAAAACTATTTGGAAAAGACAAGTAACTGCAGCTTTATATATCTCTGCTTTTCTCTTGTAGCAGCTCAGTTGTGCTGTAACTTTATTTCCACACACATAGGTTCATGGTGTGAGATGATGTAAGAGTAAAAAGCACTTCACCTGTAGGACTATAAGAAAGCAGCATTAGTCTTTTTGTAGCCTATTATGATACCTTGCTGTACATCATGGGAAAAGAAAAAAAAATTGGTGATGCTTTGACCAATACTGTCACTGTCATTATTGTAGTTACTTGATAAATATGCATGAATACAGTAATAAGCAGGGGTTTGCATATACATTGCTTCTCAAACAACTGGAAAAGTTTAATAGTGCTTTAAAGACTATTTTGTTATAGTACTATTAAAGGTGATGTTTTGTTGGTTCTCACTTGTTCTGAAACTTGTGTATTGCTCTGTAATAAGTAACTTCATAGGGATTTTAAAACTATTTAATGCTAGACTATCTGCCAGAAGATATTTGAAGAAGAAAAAAATTAATTTTTGTTATGCTTCAGGTATTTTAGAAGCAAGCAACGTCTTTCAGGGATTAAATTAGAAATCCTGTGCATATTTTCAAGCATTGGTGAAATGGTATTTCCATATTTGTATCATTCAAGATCCATTGAAGCTTCTGGAGTTGCTGTTACCTGGAGATACAAAGAATCACAACTGATTGTCACCCTACAGCAATTGTCCCACAAGTCCTATTGAGCCACAGCTGTGCTCAAGACCACTGAAATTGTTAAGACCATGGGGTTGCTCTGGTTTCTAATGATTGCTCCCAACTATGTTGCTGTAACACAGTATATTTTTTTTAAAAAAGCTCTACACTACTGAAGCAAAAGCAATACAGTATTAGAAAATTACTACCTGGATCTCTGTGCTCAAAACAATTTATTAGTTCTGTCATATAAGCACTTCCAAGGACATAAACTCCCACAACAATGTAAGTGCAAATGTCAGTTTCTTCTGTCTTAAAAAAACAGGCAAATAAGATATATTATGTTTTTAGCAGGAACACCTTTCATGTTGCCTCCCTCCCAACTCTCAAACGTCAGAAATCCAAGTTGTGCAAAATAGCTGTGTGAAGTGACCCTCTGACTGGGGCAGTCATTTTATCCCTGTTCTCCCCTTGTTCACAATATCCACCAACAGCTAGATGCAACAACTTACAGAAGCAGAAGCAGCTTTAAAATTCACCATGGTGTGTGTTAAGTGTACTCTGATTAGGAGTATTTTTATTCAAAGTACCCTCTCATTCCAGAAGTGATTCCATGGGAAATCCATTTACTTTACTTACAGGCAGCTGGCAAAAGCACACTTCTCTTTCAGAGGGTTTCATCCAGCACAATACCCTCTGAAATGAAGTGTGCTCCTTGTAGTCAGTCCCTATCCTGGCTACAGCAGAGAGCAGCTAAGTTTCAGGGTTTACTTGTGAATTTTCTCCTTCCCTTGTCTCCACTTTCAGAATACCTAGGCACAGGAGTTGGTCCTGTAAAAGAGAGCATGGGAGGAGTGTATTGTGAAAGGGAGACTAGTAGGTAGGACTTTAGAAAAAATATCTTCATTCTTGTTTTCTGTAAGCAAAAAGGCCCAATGTTTTCTTGTCCAATTGCCAGTTGTCATATAAGGCAATATCAAAGTAATGAGTCTGAATAGAACAATTTCATTTAGAAAATCCTGAGAATGCAGTGCACCAATGTGGCAATGACTATTTCCCTGATGCACAACTCTTACAGTTTCAAGTTGAGGTGTTGCTGCCTTCTAAGGAGCTTTTGCTTCCTCAATACAGAAGTCCATGGTTCTTCAGCATCCGCTTTCCTGAACAGTGAAGGATTTTAACTCCACGTGCTAACTTCCACTTATTAAAGACATGGACTTGTCTGAACCTCCTGTTTAAACAAAAACCCAAACATCTTCATCAGACACAGGAAGCAGTGTTTACTGGTTTAATTCTCAAAGTGTTTGCCCTATTTCACTTCCACAAGAAGAAAATACATGAAAAGCAGGTCTGCCTGTAGGACTGTTGGGGAAGGGAAGCATGCTGCAGAACTGCACTTAATGTAAGGAAGCATAAGACAGCCATTTCTAAGCCTAACCAGTTGGATTGCCACACCCACCAGTAACTCACTGGTACTGAGTGGATTCATCAGCCGTGTATCTCACCACAGAGATGACTAGGAACTGTTCAGCAGTACAAAGGCAGAAAGATGGAGAACAGCCAGGTATTGATCAATGTCCATCCAGCATTCCTTCAAAAAATTCCAAATTTGTAGCTTGCATATAAATTCAACACCTTATTAATTGCATCTTAGGAGCCAATAGATGATGTGTAGACGTCTTGGCATCCAGGCTGGCTCTGCATTTCAGTACTTGGTACTAGCACAGCAGCCATGTGCCCTAAGCTAAGCGAAGGCAAAACTTAACCTGGGGGACTTGGTTCTGATAATTTGTGCAGGCATTATGTCAGGTGCTGAATTGCTGTAATCAGAT